GTGACTCTTGAATGCTGTAGGGAGGTCGAAAGGGATGATACAATGGATTCCGAGTCAAACACTTCTCAAGAGGATGCAGCAAATGGGAACAGTGATCCAGAGTTGTGTTCGAACCTTACAACCTCAACTCCGTTGGTTTGTACAAATTTTAAACCTCGGGTGAGTGATATGGACAATGACTTATAGAAACTACAGACAATCATACACAATACCTTGTAGTAGTACTAAAGGCTGATAATAAATAGAATATGGTGTTCTTGCTGGTTTTCAAGACCCTTTAATTAGACTAGATATGTTGTTACGTAAATAGACACATCGACTCTTACCTAACTAGTTCATAACTAGTCATTGGATTCAAACTACGTAGGTTATGAGTTCACCAAAACAGGTCATACTTGCTAATGACTTGGACGTAAATTAGGTCAGATCTTGATCTTGGAGCAGAACTTGAATATAGGAGGAATTGTAGCGTCTTCCCAATCCAGCTCCAACGTAAAAGATTCGTTTACCTTAACGCCAGTAGCCTCGAGGAATTCTCGCAACCCTAAACCTAAATGCATCTGTTCATTTCGGGTCTGTCCATTTCCCTTTAACATCACTAGCTTCGCTGGCCACTTTACTCCATGATTGTCCAACAGAGTTAACTTCTTACCTCCTGCAGTTTCCATCTTGTTATCGCTAATGAAGCTCTGCGGAAGATACTGCACACAAAATAGAAACAATTAGCTTATACTATGTGCACTTCACAAAGCATCGATACTAAAAAACACTAGGAAAGGCTCCTCCAAGAAAGCTGTTTTAACTTACAAGTCTACAATGTTTGAGACTGGCTGGTGTGACAGTTAGTGTCACAAGTCTCTTTTCGCCATCTTTTCTATTCCCTTCGCTTCTATGTTTTCTATGTTTTGTGGAATCACTCTTAGTTTCTGCAGTGGAGAAACGGAGAACGGGCGTTTTCGTGTTGTTACTCTCTAGTTTAAATGTAACGGAATCTCCAGGTTTAAGCTCATTCTCATTGCAGAAGCTTCTCCAGCCACAGCTCATGTATAAGGTTCCTTTTGACTCACTAAACCCCAGATTAAGCGTCCATGTCTTTACTCCATTCATTAGAACAATCTCGTTGCTACCTTTCTTCAGATCATCAGACATAACAAACGTCCGTGGAAGAAACTGCAGAGTTTTAAAAATTAAAGACATGAGTAACCAAAGGAACTTTCATTACTCAAAATGTAGAAGACTCAGAGAGTAGATTTGAAGTACTTAACCAGTCTATTGTCTCTAAAGTTCGAATCACTGATATTTGCTACAAAACAAGAACTGTCTGATAAAGACTCTGGCTCTGTTTTTAGATTCTGCTCCATCGACAAGTCCCCTGAGTCACAGCAGAGTCAAAATATTAAAACGTTCTGATCTACAAAACCTAAAATGTAAATTTCATGAGAAGAAAACAGAACACAACTTAACTCACTGATGTTGTCTTCTTGTTCATATTGAATCTCGCAGCAACTTGGTCCAAAACCGGTGACGTGGAACACGAAATCTCCTTCGTGTTTGAAAACGATGATATCTCCGACTCGGAAATCATGTGCACCGGCGAACTCTTTCCACCCAACAGTTAGTCTCCGACCATCCATCTGAAATTTCCAAGTTTTCTCACACGCGTCCGACTTAAGCTCCACTATGTTTCTTTCGTTTCTTCCTTGTACATGTTCCGAGAAGTACTTCACCGGAATTTTCTGCAACAAAGAAAGAAGACAATTAGAG